GCATACTTAAGGTGGGGAAGAGCCTCCACAAGCTTCACTTCCCGGTTTTAACGTCTAGCTTTAGACCATTATTTGATCTGCCCGACGCGCCAAGTGCAGTACCCCCCACTAGTAGTGAATGGGTCCCGGGGAGGCCTGTGCCGAAGCCTTGGCGATTCTATTAGGCGTTCCCGAAGGAATTGGCTTGGATTGGCGCTGAGCCGGTCAGCTATGCCGCGTTTGTCCTCACAAAGTTTCGACATGGGAGGAATCGAACCTGTGCCCTCTCGGAGGGTTTAGACACTAGCTCCAGCGCCTTCAAAGAAGGCCTTTCTTAGCCGCGGCCGGTGGTTCTGCAGCACCGGCTTCGACGAGGAGGGCCCCCAGACCTGTGATGAGGAGGAGCAGGAGCTCCTTGGCTGGGGGCACGAGGCCCTGAAGCGCAAGGGCAGCCCCTCGCTCAGCCCCCAGTTCTCCCTCGAGATGGACAGCATGCCCTCCGACCAGCCACCCACGGCCTCAGGCCTGCATCGCACCAAGAAGAGGTGAGCCGAGGCTGCGGCCGCTGGGCGGCGGGAGCGGGCGGAGTCGAGCGTCGTCTGGCGGCGGCTGTTGGTGCGGGCTCCCGCTCAGCGCTCGACGCTGCTGCCCAGCCCTGTCCTGCTTCGCAAATGCTCCTGAGCATGCTCTCATCAGCTTGCGGGAGCGGCGCACGGCGCTCAAACGCTCGCCCCAGGCTGCTTGCGCGCCGCGCAGGCGCCCGCCGCGCCGCTCGTTTGAACGCCGTCGCCGCCGCCTCGCGTCTGCCTCCGTGCACCACCTGCCCCTCCTGCTTCTTCCCATGCGAGCAGGTGTTCCTTGGCCGATCTCCAGCACTATGAGTCCCTCGCCTCCACCTGCACCGAAGTGCCTGCAGAGCTGGCAGGCGCGGCGCCGCCCGCGCCGCAGCTGCCGCTCGCCGCAGCAGCACCACCACCGGCCGCAGCACCCCACCGCCACCACTACAACACCCGCAGCGCCAGCGGCGCCGCGCGCGGCGGCGGCCCCACGCACGCCGCGGCTGCTGGCGGCGGGAGCTACCACCCCTACCGTGCCCCCGCTCTGCCCGCCCGCGCCGCGCACCTCGCGCATGGCGGCGCCACCGACGCCGGCCACCTGCCAGCGCCCACCCACTACCCGCACCCGCCCCGCCAGCACAGCCACGCTGCGGCCGCTGCCACCTACCAGCAGCAGCAGCGCCGCGCGCTGCCGCCGCGCCCGCCGCAGTGGCGCCTGGCTGCTGCCGCAGACGCCGCCCACTTGGCCCCGCAGCAGCCCGTGCCCCTGCCGCCCTCGTACGCCGCCATGCCGGTGCTGGCCCCGCTCCACGCCGCGCCCCCCGCGCTGCTGCTGCAGCCCTGGCAGCAGTATCGCAGCATGGCGCCGCCGCCAGGCTTTGCGCAGCTGCTGCCGCTGCCCCAGCACGCGCAGCAGTACCAGCCCGCAGCGCAGCCGCTGCACCAGCAGCTGCTGGCCGCCCAGCTGCAGCAGCTGCCGGGGCAGCGCTACGGGGGCTGGCAGCCCGCGGCTGCGCCTGTGCCCATGCCTGTGCCGTGCTTTCCAATCGACAGCCAGGAGGCAGAGACGCACCAGTACATGCCAGGTGGGCATTTTCTGTAATGTGCAGATCTCGCTCCCGCTGCTCGGTGGCGTGCGCCGCGTGGTGCAGTCGCGGCGGGAGGGGTGCCCGCTCGTCTCCCCCAGCCTTGCACGGGCCGCCGGCCGGGCGGCCCGCGCGCGGCCTGCCCCCGCCGCGCCTGCTGACTTTCGCCCCACACCTGACCATGCCTTGCCGCCTTGCGGCCACCAGCAGGTGGTGCGCTGGAGTGCGGAGAGAGCCTGGGGGAGCTGATGGAAGGCTTCCACTCAGCCACCTCCAGCCTTACCCTGGACGATCTCTCCCCAGATGCGGCCGCCGACCAGGGGAGCGGCTGGGGCTCGGGTGCGCGCCCGCCCTGCCTGCCCGGCTCGCCCGCCCGCCGCTGCCTGCAGGCATGCAAAGCACCGTGCCCGCTTGCCTTCCGCAGGAGCCTGCCGTTTGCGTGCAAGGCCTGCACTCTGATTGCCGCTCCATCCTGCGCAACCTGGGACTGCAGGCCCCAGCTCCGGTGACCCCTTTGGTGTGGAGGAGTTTGGGCTGTGTGAGCAGGCGTCCGACATGGCTGTGGGTGAGCTGGGGGCTACCGTTTCCACCCCCACGCTCTCGCATAGCCACACTTGTTGGCTGCATTTGACCTGTCAAATCGAATGGACTGCACACTCAACCTGCTGCACTGCCATGCCGGCGCTGCTGCTTTCGCAGGCACCCTGCCACACGGCGGCTTCTCCCGCCAGTGCACCCCCGCGGGCGCCCTGCATCGCGCCGCCGCCGCGGCTGCCCTCTCTCCAGCAGAGGACGACGGCGAGGCGCTGACGCCTATGTGGCGGATGGTTGCTGACCTGGCACAGGCCAACGCCTTGCTTAGTGGGATCGCACTGCCAGGTCAGCAGGCCCCGCGCCATGCCACCGGCCGGCTGGTGCCGACCTGCCGATGCATGCCAGGGGCTGCATCAGCGCACGCCTCCACGCCTCGCTCGCCACTAGGCAACCTCGCGCCGCTACGCCGCCTGCCTGCGCTGCAGGGGGCCTCGACTTTGTGCCCGTCCACGAGAGCTGCCTGTTGCTTGGCCTGGCTCGCTGTGAGTCGCACGCCAGCGTTCGGTGCATGCCCTTGGGCCCCGATACCTCCTGCCAGGCAGTCCCAAACCGAGCCAGCCCCTCCTGCTGGCAGCCGCGCGCGCCACCTCGCGCACTCACGCTGGGCCGCACCCTTTGCCCTGCAGACTTCCGCATCCCCTCCATCTGCGTCGCCCTGGGCGCCTCCTACTTCCAGCGCCTGCTGGCCATGGATCCTGGCATCCAGGCAAGGCGGCCCGCCCTGGCCTGATGCCGCGCGCCCGGCAGGCTCCTGCACCCGCGCCCAGCTGCTCCTGCGCCCAGCGCCCACCAGGCTGCTGTGCACCCGCTCGTACTCGTCTCTCCAGGCAGTCAGAACATGAGCTGCTGCTTCTGCTGTCATGCTCTGCCATGCCCGCACCTGGCCTGGCCTGACCGCAGATGCAAGCGGCTGCCGCCGGCTTCTTTGTCAACTGCCCCACCCCGCCCGCTGTGCGCGGCGGACCGCTGGTGAGCTCCCCGCTGCCTCCCTCTTGCCGTCTGGGGCGTCCCGCCCCCAGCAGCTAGCGGGCAGCCAGCATGGGGGTTGGGAGCCTGCCATGCAGCGCAGCCCGAGGCGTCACAGCCGCTTGCGAGTGGAAGGTGCCCCCTGGCCCTCCCAGAACCCCTCCTGCTGCTCCACTCCCACCCAGCAGGGCCCTCCAGTGCTCATGGCCCGCGTCGGCGCTGACGACTCCCTGCGCATGCTGTACGGCGCCTGCGTATACCTGGCGGGTGAGGTCCCGCGGCGCTGCAACCGCGCGCTGGGAGCCTGCTAGCGCTGTTGTGGCTGGCTGGCGTGCCGCTGCGCTGCGTGCGTGGCGTGGAGGCCCCTGCCGGCCGCCCATCCACTGCAGCCGCGTGTGCTCCTGTGCTTACCCTGCTGCGTGCAGCCAAGGTGGCGGACCGCGTGAGGTACAGCGGCATGCTCTCCGCCCTGCTCACCAAGCTGCTGTGCCAGTTTGTGTCCCCCGCCGACGTGAGACCGGAGCTGCGCCTGGGCAGGCGGCAGCGCCTTGCCAAGCCTGGCAGTGGCGCGGAGCTCAGGCTGCAGGGACGGACCGCGTGCGCCTGCCCTGCACCCTGCCTCTGAGCTCCCGCCATATATGCTGGCATGTGCCGGTGCAGGCCGAGGGTGTGGAGATGTCGGTGCTGCTGGGCCTGGACTGGCGCCTGGGACCCTACTTTGACCTGGGCCCCAGCCATGGCAGCGGCCCCTGAGCTGGGGGCCACTGGCGTCACGGGGCGGCGCCGCCCCAACTGGAGTGAAACATCCGCGGCGGCACCGCCATGCCCAGCACCGCACGCTGCGGTGTTTCCAACCCCATAGGGAAGCAGTCGCAGCGACTTCCCCGTCACTTCTCTGAACATGCTGAGCTCGACCCAGCAAGCCCGCTCCATTCTTTGGGCTTGCTCTTCTAGGCCAATGCTGGTTCGCCCCCGCCCGCCGCCGCAATGGCAGCCCAAGTTTCGCGCAGGGAGTGCCCTTTTTTTCGTTTTGGCAGTACTTAAGTTCCTAACCCTTTCAAGAATCCCTTCCAATTAGTTACATCTCAGCACTCCCTTCCAAGTGCACCTACCCTGGCCCTCTTCCCTTTTTCTTCTTCATCATCCTGCTCCTCATTTCCTTGCCTGCTCCTCAATTCCTTGCCTGCTCCCTCACGCCCGTGTGCTGTGGCCTGCATACTGAGGCCCGCACTTCTCCTGGGAACCCTCCTGGTGCCCACACGCATGAGCCCACACGCATGAAATCATGCGTTTGCCCCACCTTGCCCTGCCCCAGTGCCTTTCCACCCAGCGCGCCATCTGCAGCCTCTGCTGCCGCGCTACTGTTCCCCTACCCTTCTATCATTGTACACACTACGTGGCGATTCGGCTCACCACACCCCTGGCGCGTGTCTCACGACGGACCGCAGGCCTCCGATCACTTGCACCCTGACGCGTGTCTGAAGAATCAGACGGACCGCAGGACCCTGTCATTGTTTCGTTTTCCTGTCCATGCTTGCGTATTTGCCTGCGTTCAGGACTAGTTCACAGCTGCCGGACAGCCGCCGTCCTGAAACAAAAATTTTGATATACTTCAGCACTTTTAAACCGGTAGCGCATAGCGAAACTTACTCCGACTCGCGGAGCACTGCCTGCCTGCTTTCATACTGCCACCGCCACTGCACCACCACCGCCACTGCCTCCCGCCTGCATTGCCTCGCCTTTAGATTTCCTGCCTGCTTGCTCACGCCTGCCAACGCATGCTAGCGCTGTAACTCTAGAGACCTTCGTGTCGCTTCAGTCAGTTGGAATCGAAGTCGTGCTGTCCGCTGCGCAGCCAGCTGCCGCCGCAAGCCGGGCTGCGCAGAATCGCAGACCGCGGCGAGCCCGCCCCCAGGCCTGTCTCGCGGCAGGAGCAGGGGCTGTAGGAGCGCAGCGCAGCCGCAGGGGAGCCTGGCCTGCCGGCGGCACAGTTCAGGTGCACCTGCCTGCCGCTGCTGGGCCTGCAGGCACGGGAGCGGCGGCAGCAGCGGGAGCGCGCACGTTTGCTTGGTGTTCGGCGCTCTCCGGCAAGCGTGCCAGCGCCCACGCCCCCTGTTCCCGTTCTGCGGCCAGGCAGCGCCCCCTCCCAGGTGCCCTCACCTGCTGCTCTGGCCCAGGTCCGCAAAGCTCACTGCCCTGGGGGTAGAGCCGCCGCTGTGAGTCGGCAGCGCTGGCACCCTGGGAGGGTTGACCACTTTGACCGAAGGCGCCCTGCACCAGGCCAGCCGCAGCGCGTGGGCTCCACAGGAACACCAGGCAGCGCCACCAGCGTCCAGCATCCAGCATCCAGACATCACAACCCGCGATGCTGTGTGCCTAGCCCTGCTAGCCCAGCCCCCAGACCGCCAGCTGCGCCCGCCACCAGACCTGCTGGTGGCCATCCCCGCCTCCTCGCTGTCCTCCTCCCCTCCATCCAGGAAGGAGTCGTCTTCGTACTCCGAGCTGCTCTCGTGGGCCAGGTTGTGGGAGGCTGCGGCGTGAGCGGCAGCATGCGGCAGACAGGCGGTGTGAGGCAAACGGTGGCAGCGCGGCGGGAAGCAACCTGTCGCCGGCCAGTCGCAGTTGTGGCGCAGTTCTGGTAGCCGCAGACAGCACCCGGCTGCAGAGACTCGCCTCACCTCTGGCTCCCCACGTAGACTCGGGTGCTGCCGCAGCTGCTGGTACACCGTGCTTGGTGGGAGGCGAGCGGGCGCCTGGGGCGGCGGGCACGCTGCCCCAAGGCGGCGGTGGCGGCTGGGTGGCTGGGGGCTGGGCCACCTTGTCCAGCAGAGCTGCGGCCGTGTTGGGCATGCCGGGTGGTGCAGCGGGCAGGGCTGGGCTACCGCTGGCAGGGGATGCGGAGGCAGAGGTGCCGGGACGTGCTGCTGGCGCAGGGGACCCAGCCTGCTGGTGTGCGGCTCTGCCGCTGGCTGCCGTCAGGCTGATCGCAGGCCGCTGCAGGCTGGGGCTGCCCAGATTGCCTGGGCTAGGTGGTAGGCTGTGGCGCCGCGCGGCTATGGCTTGCGAGGCTGCGGCCAGGGCTGGAGGAGGAGGGGATGGCGGCGCTGCCTTGCAGGCGGCAGGCGACCGCGACACCGGCCGCCTCTCCGCTGCAGCGGGGTTGCCGCCAAGGCTGCCGAGAAGCGGGCTGCCGCCAGGCCCGTCGCTACCGCTGCGGAGCCCGCTCCCCAGGGAGGCAAGCAGCTCTTGGGCACGGGCGTCGATGCCCGCCTGGCACAACTGGCTCTCTTGGGCGAGGCCCTCCCGCAGCCGCGCCTGCGGGAGGAGGGCAGGCAGGCGTTGGGAAGGCCACGGCAGTGGGCAGGCAGGGAACGCAGCTGGCCAGCCAATGCATGGCTACATCAGGAGGTCAGCTTTTTCAGCGGTCAGCGCCAGCTGCGGGCACCACCACGGCTCGCCTGCAGCGCCTCGGCATCGGTCAGAAACCGGCGCTCCAGCGCCGCCATCGCGGCCGCATACTCTCGCCGCAGCTGGCCCGCGCGCCGCTCCAGCTCCCGCTCGCTCTGCTGCTTCACCAGCTCCAGATCCTTCAGCGCGCCTCTCAGCTGGGCCTCCGCATGGTGAAGGTCTGCAGGCGGCGCGGGTGGCAGCAGCGCGGGGGGGCGGTTTGGCGCCGGCGCCTGACAGCCAGGTCGCGGCTGACCGTCGCCTGCGCCTCACCCTCGGCGTGACGCTCCGCCACTAGGCTGAAGCGCTCCTGCAGGAGCGCAGCGCAGGCGGCGGTCTCCAGGCCCGGGGAATCGCCCTCCATTTCGCCTGGGGGGGGCCTCCGCAAGGAGTCTTGAGCGGTTGCAATGACGTGAAGATCGTGCCTCAATGAGGAGCCGGCCTCGAGTACATGGCGCCTCCAGCTGGATCCAGATGGGCACCCGTTCCCTTACCTCTCTGTCTCTGGCCTCACTGGTGATATCAGCATGCCCTGTTCCGCCCTAGCGGGGTACCGGGGCCGCTCTGCATGAAAATGGCAGCCCGAGCTCAGCCCCGGAAGCCCAACTGGCTTGCTGAGACCCCGCCGGGCGCTACCAGCATGCTGCCAGCCACATTGGGAGCCGCGCGACAGCCGGACGCCACCGCCAGGTGCGGCCTGACGCCCAACAAGGCAAGGCGCAGGGTTGTGAGACAGCCTGCATTGTTTAAACACGCAATGCCGAGTGGTTGCTGCACCATGCAGGGTGCTCGAGTTCCCGGGCACCGCGCCGCGAAGGCCAGCGACAGCTGCCAACCCCCGCCTCGACGCCGCCAGCTACCGCCCTGCCACTGCTCCAGTGTCGGCACAGGCTGGCCCTGCCGCCGGTGGAACGGCCGCCGCCACGCCCTTTGGCAGCACCCTCAGCCTGGAGCCTGCCTACAAGCCGGCGCTTGCCCGCCTCTCGCGGCCCTCGACAGCTGCGGCAGCCCCGAGCCTGGCACAGTCGCGGCCAGCGACAGCTGCAACCGCAGCCACAGCAGCAGCAGCGCCGCCGCTGCCCAGCAGCCGCTTGGATGCCCTGTTGGCAGGCAAGCAGCGCGGCAGCGCGGTGCGGCCGCTGGGCAGCGCAGCAGCGGCGCAGCGGCTCCCCGCCAGCCGCCTGGATGCACTGCTGTCTGCCAAGCCCACCAGCACAGCAGCGGTGCTACCTCCAGCGGCAGCAGCGGCGCTACCTCCCAGCAGCCGCCTGGATGCGCTGCTGTCCAAGCAAGCTCCGGCATCACTCACCGCTGCTGCTGCTGCTGCGTCGAGAGCAGCGGCACCAGCCACCGCTGCGAGCCAGCCTCCCTCTGGCGCCAGCTCAGCCCTGGGGCAGGCTGGCGGGGCGCGTGCCGTGCCTGTCGCGCCTGCGTCGGCGGCGCTGTCACCCGTGGCAGAGGAGGCGCCTGCCCCGCTCCCTGCAGCACCAGCAGCGGGGGATGCTCCCGCCGCAGCTCCACCCGAGCGCACAACACGTGCGCAGCATGGTGAGGCAGCGCAGGCGGCAGCGGGGCTGCTGCCAAGGCGCGTCTCTGGCGGGGCGCTGGATCCCGGCCTGCAGGACCGGCTGCGGGAGCGCATCGAGCAGGCCAAGGTGGGTGGAACACCCCGACTGACGTGCCAGCTGGCGTGCTCAGCCTGCGCCAGCTGCTGCGCTGCCCCCCGCTCCCCTCCCCACGTGCTCCCCACGAGCATCAGACATTTCTGCATCGCACTGCGACCCACCTTGCCTGCGTGCCTGCTTGCCCGCCTGGCCTGGCCTGCCTTCCTGTGGCCTGCAGGTCCAAATCCGGCAGCAGCTGTCTCCTATGTTCCACCTGTCTCAGGCGCTGGTGGGGGCTGAGGGCGACCCTTGGCGGGCGGCAGATGCCCTGGAGGCCGCCGCCGGGCTCAGCGCATTCGAGCGGCTGGCTGTGCGGCCTGGCAGCCGGGGCGCGGCGGGAATGTCGACGGCGACGGTGTCAGGAGCGCGTGCTGGCACCCTGGCGGCTCCAGCGGGCGGCATGGCCGGCGGCAGAGTGGCTGAGAGCGAGGAGGAAGGGGAGGCCAGCCACGTGTCGCTGCCGCTGGTAGGCGCCGACGTGCAGGAGCAGCGGAGCCAGCCGGGGCCAGCAGCAGCTTGGCATGCCGACAAGCCGGCCACCTCCCGGGCTGCTGGTGGGGCAGGCGGTGCCGGCGACGGCAGCGGCAGGAACGCTTCAGATGCCGGTTCGTTGGTGGCGACGGCCATGGCGGCCGCAGAGCGTGCCCAGCATGCCATTGCTGACCTGGCAGCCACGCCACGTCAGCACGCGCTGGCGCTGCCGCACCAGGCCCAGCCCGACGCCGCCGGATCCGCCCCACGGCCAGCTCCGCCCGCGCCGTATGTGCCGCCCATGGCGGCAGCTGGTGTGGCCGACGGCAGCGGGCAGCCTGCGGGGCGGGCTGCGGCGCACGGTGATGCGCAGCGCTGGGTGGCGCACCTGCAGCGCCAGTCTGAGGCGCTCATCAGGTCAGGATGGAGGAGTTGGCTCGGCGCGCTGGGGCTTGCGCTGTGCTCAGCCAGGTCTCTCAGGCTGCTGCTGCTGCCGGGCCGCCAGGCGGCTTTTGCAGAGGCAGCCAAAGGACAGCTGCGGGTGATGGCTCGAAGCCGTTGGCCTCACCTCTGTTTCTCTGTGTGCAGGGCGGAGTGCGAGCAGCTTGTGGCCTCCATGCATGCGCTGTTTGACAGCATGCTGGAAAGCCTGCGGCAGGAGCAGCAGCCGGGGGCGGCATCCCAGGAGGCCGCGGCGGCATCGGCGGGCAGCAGGGACCACAGCGGGGGCAGCAGCCTGCAGGGCAGCCTGCCCGGCAGCGGCAGCGCCTCCCCCACAGCCTCCGCAGGCTCGCCCCCTGGCAGCAGCCGGGGAGGTGGGCGGGACGGCACGCCACTGCAGACCACTCTCAGGCTGGGCGGCAGCAGCGGGAGCAGCGGCGGCGGCGGCAGCATGCTGTCTGATGGCGAGGCCTCCTGGCTGGTGCTTGGCGACCAGCAGCCCGAGGGGCAGGAGGGCCGGCAGGAGGATGAGCAGGGGCAAGGCGAGGAGGCGGAGGCCGAGCAGCACCAGCACCAGCAGCGGCAAGAGGCAGGCGTGTTGTTGTGGGGCGGCCTTGCCTCTGGTCAGGCCGAGCTTGGCCGGCAGCAGCAGCAGCAGCAGCAGCAGCAGGATGAGGCCATGCTGGAGGGCGCTGGCAGCAGCTCGCCCGCAGCCTACATGTCCGCAGGCGATCCGCCCCACCAGCCGGCGCAGGCGCCGCAGCAGCAGCCACGGCAGCTGCCGCAGCTTGGGGCTGTGCTGGCGGCGGGCTTGGGCGGCGGCGCCGGCTTTGGCAGCCCCATCCGGCTGCCGCACCACCCCAGCCCCGCCAAGCCTGCTGCCACGGCGGCAGCGGCAGCATCTGGCGTGCCGGGCGCCTTTGCACCCAGGTCGCCAGCAGCCACGCCTGCTCGCATCACGGGTCATCAGCCAGCCCTGGGTGCCGCCGCCGCCAAGACTCTGTCGTTTGGCGCCCAGCCAGCTGGCTCCGGCGCCGAATATGCCACCCCTGCAATCGAGCTGTGGCCAGGCAGCGTGAGCCGGCCGTCTGTGCCGCGCCTGGCCACAGCCGCAGGCGCCCAGCCGCTGCGCAGCAGTCTGGACGTCTTTCTCACTGCCCGCAGCACGGCGGCGCGCCCGGGCGGGTTCCTGACTGCACGTAGCACCGCCGGCGCATCTGCATCGCCGGCAGAGCCCGGCAGCGCAGGCCCCGCCAGCACGCGCAGCAGCTGGCCAGCGGCGAGCGCCTCGCCAGTTCCGCACAGCGCGTCTTATGCTGGGGCCGGGGCCGCGGCGTCTGGCAGCAGCGCGGCAGCCACGCCGGGCGCCTATTACAGCAGCCTGAGCGGCGGCGGGCAGCGAGAGGCTGCGGCGCCGCCTGGCACCACTGCGGCATCCAGCCTGCGGCCGCTGCTGGGGGCTGGGGGCCGTGATTTGGAGGGCCTCTCAGCGAGCATCCGGCGGATGGCGGCAGAGATGAGGTGAGCTCATGAGAACGCCTGCGCTTGTTTGGCTGTGTGGGCTGTTCCGTGGCACACGTGCAGGGCTGGTTAGGTATCTTGTTGCGCAGGGCGGGCATTTGGGAGGCTTTTGCAGATCCGCTGGAGCAAGGCTGCTTGCCTGCCTGCTCCTGTTGGCTGCAGGCTGAAGCAGGGCGCCCTGGCCACGCCGCTGCTGGCCAGCCGGCCCGGCAGCGCCGGCCGGCCGCTGCCAGGCTCGTCGGGGCGGCCATCCAGCAGCGGCGGCGGCGGCGGGGGCAGCGCGGGGCATCTGTACCGCAAGCCGCCTCGCTGATGCCAGCTGGGCAAGCCAGAGTTCACCTTGGCAAACGGAAAAGAAGAAGATCTGACTTGACTGACAGATTGACCCGTTAAGTTCTGTACTGTGTTCTGTACTGTTGCATTGCTGGACCCGAGGCTCGTGACCGAGTGACTGCCCTATCTATTGCACTGCCTCCTGTTGACCATGCACCGTGCTGCCTCGGCACCGGCAATCCCGTTGCTCTGTAAGCTGACTTTTCCTGCGGCCATGCCGCTCGCTTGGATGAACATGCCACTAGCGCCGGGCGGGGCGCCAAGGTATAAACCTGCCCCCGCGGCGCCTTGCAAGAGGTTTGAGGGCAGCCATGCCGGTCCTGGCTTGCATCCATTGGCTTCCCTGCCCCGCAGTCGGCCCCCCCGGTCAGTGAGGAGTGAAGATGCGCAAAGATGCGGCGCCCCCGCCTGCGCCACATCGTTGCCGCCACCACTGGCGGCGGCAAAGCCAGGTGCCGCTGGTAGTGCGGGCTGATTGCGTTCTGCTGCTCTCAACCCAGCCTCCCGGTCAGAAGGGGCGCCCCCAGCCTTTGCGCGGCTTGCCATGTGCATCAGCGCATAGGCCCTCTCCTCTCATTGCTGCCATCTCGTACTCCCCATCGATCGGAGCCATCGTGGCGATGGCCGGATCCCTAGTTCAGCAGCCCGGGCTCGCGCCGGGCTCGGCGCGCCAGCAGGTAGGGCTCCCGACCGGCAGGGCCGCTCAGGGAACGCCGCGCCGTGGCCGACCGCTCACCCGCGCGATGTGGGTTTCCCTGTTGCAGCGGCAGCGGCCCCGCAGCGGCAGCAGCCCCGCGGGCGGGCGAGCGGCGGCGCCGCCGCCTGCGCCAGCCCGCCGCGCCGCGCCGGTGCGCGCGGCGGCAGCGGCCACGGCCAGCGCGGCCGCCCCCAAGCGCGCCGACGCGGCTGAACTGGCGGCAGAGGTGGAGCGCCTCAAGGCGGAGAACGAGGCGCTGCGGGTGGCCCTGGCTGGCTACCAAAAGTGTCCCCCTGCAGAGGTGACGGTGGCGACGGCGGCCGCGGCGGCAGCCGAGGTGGCAGCATCACCCGCGGCGGCGCCGGCCACGGCCGCCGACATCGTCACCCAGCTGGAGGCGGGCATCAAGTGGCCCAGTCCGCAGGAGGGCAACTTCTGGGAGCGGCCGCCTCGGGAGGCGCCGATGCCGCTGGGGCCGCCCACGCCAGCTGGCGGGGCCACCCGGGACCCACGCAGCTTCCACGTGGTGCACATCACAGCCGAAATGGCGCCCCACGCCAAGGTGGGAGGCCTGGGGGACGTCGTCACGGGCCTGGCGCGCGCCTGCCTGGGCAGGGGCCACAACGTGGAGATCATGCTGCCGGTAAGCGGAGCTGCCGCCGCTGCCCAGGGCCGCTGCCGGCCACAGCCCCGTGCCCCACCCGCCACTGCCGCCGGCTAGCGCCGGCGGTGCCGGCGCACGCACGCTGCCGCGGCAGCTTTGGGTGTGCCGCGTGCCGGCGCTGGGGCCGGCCGCCGCCGCGGGCTGCTGGCGCGCGCTGCCGCTGGCTGCTCACGAACGTGTGGCAGCGGCCTTTCCTCACTTCACCTCCCTCCCCTCCCCTGGCGTACCGCCTGCCCCGGCAGTACTACGAGTGCCTGCCGCAAGATGCGATCGAGGATCTGCGGCTGGAGCGGGAGTTTGACTGTCCCAAGGTGCGGGCAGGCATCATCAGACCGGACACACCTTCTGCTTCTGTCCCTGATCCCGCCTGTCCCGTCGTTTCTGGTCTTGGCCGATGCCACCCAACCCCGCCGGCATGATGTGGAGCTTGCATGTGTTACGCTCATTGCTACCGTTGTTTCTGAGCCGGGATCGAATTTATCCCTCACGCCTCTTCCCCTGCACTCCGGTCTGCCTCCAATGTCTGTGCAGTTGCTGTGCACTGCACGCTGCCCGCCCCCGCTGCCCACCCACCCACGCCGCCTCCCTCCCGCCTCCCGCCGCCTGCTCGCCCGCAGGGCACCACCTTTGACGGCCAGTTCACCCTGGGCAGCCTGCGCACCCAGGTGTACACCGGCAAGATCGAGGGCTGCCCCGTGCTGCTGGTGCGCCCCGAGTGGGGGCAGACCAACCTGTTCCGCGGCGGCCGCATCTACGGAGGTGTGTGTGTGTGTGTGTGTGTGTGTGTGTGTGCAGGTCGCAGAGGGTGGCATGCGCTGGGCGTGTTCCTCCAGGGTGTGCATGTGTTGTGTGGTGGCGGTGGGGCTGGGGAGGCAGGGTGGTGGGTGTGGGCGTGCTGATGCGGGAGTGGTGGTGACGGGGAAGAGTGTTGGGCGGCTGGGGTGGAGTGTGTTGCTGCCAATGCTGGGCCCTTCCTGCCCACACGCCTGCTGAGAGGCACCCGCCGCACCGCCTGCCGTACCGCAGGAAGCTACAACGAAGCCGAGGCCTACCTGTACTTCTCCCGCGCCTGCCTGGAGTACCTTCGCCAGTCTGGGCGCCAGCCGGACGTGGTGCACGTGCACGAGTGGCAGGTGCGGCACGTGTGCGCTGCCGCCGCCTGCCGCACGCTGTGCTCCTGCTCGCTGTGCTCCTGCTGTGTGCTCACCCAGCGTGTGGCCAGCAGGCTGCTCCCCAGCACGCCCCAGTGCTTGCCTTACGCCAGTGGACGGGGCCCTGCAGCATTGCCTGCCCCTGGTCTCGCCCCTACCGCTCCCACCCTTGCCCCGCTTCGCCCTCTGCAGGCGGCCGCCGTGCCCATGCTGTTCTGGGACGCGCCTGTGCGCTTTTCTGACGACATGCCGCGCACCAAGATTGTGATGACGATCCACAACATGGACTCGTCTGGGGAGTGCAGGTGGGGGCATACGTGTGGGTGATGGTGGGGTGTGTGGGGTGTGGTGGGGGTGCTCGGCAGCGGGGTGTGCAGGCGGGGCTGTGGGTGGGTGGTGGTGGTGCATGTGTGGGGGAGAGGGAGGGGCTGCAGCGGGGAGTGCAGGCTGTGGCGCAGGGGACGGGAGGAGCAGGTGGAAGGGTCGTGGGTAGGGGCGGATTTTGGCGGGCGCGCTGCAGGACCACCGGCCGTGCATGCCGCTCGTCACCAGCCGCTCCTCTGCGGCCGGCGCACGCACCACGCTCCCCACCCGCTGCCCCTGCTGCTGCCCTGCCCTGCTCCCTCATCCCCCGTACCGCAGGCAGGACGAGTTTGGTGCCACGGGCGTCAGCGGCGAGCTGTTCTCCACCATCGACAAGGCCCTGGATGAGCGCACCATCGGGCACAACCCGGAGCGCCTCTGCCTGCTCAAGGGCGGCATGGTCTACTCCAACGCAGTCACCACCGTGTCGCCCAATTACGCGGCCGAGACGCTGCACGGGGGTGAGGCGAGGGCGGGGCAGGAAGGGGTGGGGGTGGGGGCGGCGGGATGGGGGTGGCGAGGGACGGGAGGCAGCGGGGCGCTGCGGCGGTGTGGGGGCCGGCAGATGTGATGGCGCGGCGTGTGGGGTTCTGTTGGGACGGCCGGCTGCCGGACGTCAGCCTCTCTGCCCAGCCCCTCCCGCCTTGCGGCCGCGCCGCGCCGTGACCTGCCCGCCGTGCTGCCTGCAGGCGCTGCGGGCTGGCTGAAGAGCACGCTGGCGCTGCCGGGGGTGGCGGTCAAGTACTCTGGAGTGCTCAACGGAATCGGTGAGCGGGCAAGGCTGGGCTCCCACTTTCTCGCAGAAGCCGGCGGCAGGCCTTGCTGCCGTGGCTCAACGGCGGTGCACGCACCCGCGCCCCGCCTTGCACTCACCCCTGCCCATCCCGTTCTGTCCTCCCCTCCCGGCTTCCTTTCCTCCCCTGCAGACACCACCTTCTGGGACCCAGCCATCGACCCCCACCTCCCCGCCTGCTACACCCCGCAGCAGCAGGAGGGCAAGGCGCTGTGCAAGCGCTTCCTGCAGCAGGTGCGGCGCTGCAGCCGCCCGCCACAGATCCGCACATTCTCCCACATGCCCACCAGCCCCGCACACACTATTTCCGCCAGCACCACCGCACACGCCACGCCACGCCACGCCACGCCATGCCACACGTGACCACTGCACGCAGGCCGAACTGCAGCCCGCGCATCACCTTCGCGCTCCCCGACGCCCCTCTCCCTTCCTTTCCTTTCCTTCCTTTCCTTTCTTTCCTCCAGGGCCTGGGCATGACTGTGGACCCGAAGAAGCCGCTGGTGGCCGTCATCTCCCGCCTGGTGCCGCAGGTTGGTGCCCTTTGGCCGCCTGCCTCCTTGCTGCCTGGCGCCTGCTGCTGCCGCCTTGCTGCCTCACCCAAGCCAAGTCGCCGCCCCGCCGGTGCTGACCCCGCCCCGCCTCGCTGCCCTCTCATCTGCCTGCCCGCCTGGACTGACCCCTCTGCCTGCCTGCCTGCCTCGACCTGCCTGGCCCTGCCCGCCCGCCGCAGAAGGGCATCCACCTGATCGAGCACGCGGTGCAGCGCACGGTGGAGCTGGGTGGCCAGGTGGTGGTGCTGGGCACGGGGCACGCCGACGGCGGCCTGCGCGGCCTTGCGGGCGGCGCCTTCAGGTGCGCGCCCACTCCTCTCCTCTCCCCCTCCCGCAAGAAAACATTCCACGGCTCCCCGCTTCTGCACCGCTCCCTCTCTCCTCTGGCCCCGCCTGGAGCACACGTTGGGGCACGTTGGGGCACGCTGGCGCAGTTTTGGACACGCTCACCCATGGTATCCCATCCTCCTCCTCCCCCTGCTCCCTGCCTCCTGCCAGGGAGCACCCCGACGTGCAGATGCGGTTCATGTACAGCGAAGAGCTGGCGCACCAGATCTACGCGGCGGCAGACGTGCTGCTGGTGCCCTCCATGTTTGAGCCCTGCGGCCTCACGCAGGTGTGTGTGTGTGGTGGTGGTGGCGGGGGGGGACGCGGGAGTGTGGGGTGGGGCCGAGGGGCTGTAGAGGGCTGCTGGTGCACTGCCACACATACACACGCCGTGCCCTGCTCCCACCGCCGCCCCATGTGCAGATGATTGCGCTGCGGTACGGTACCGTGCCCGTGGTGCGGTCCACCGGCGGGCTGGCAGATACCGTCAAGGACGTGGATACCCACCAGGTGCGCCGCCGGTCCCGCTGGGCCTGCTTTGCATGCTGAGCATGCTGCGGAGGGTGCCAACCTTGCCAGGGCGCGCCTGTCAGGCTGGCTACCATTGTGCTGGGTGGCGGCTGGCTGGCTGGCTGGAACTCCCGCGGAGAAAGGGTCGCCTCCGCCAGCCACAGCGCGTGCCAGCCCTGGCGCCGCTCGCGGCGGCCTCCCTGACCTTCCTCCCTCTCCCCCTCCTCTCCTCCTGGGTTTCGTGCGCCCTTGCAGGGCAGCGAGGAGGCCAACGGGTATGTGTTCGACGGCATCGACGCCAACTCGCTCAACTCGGGTGAGGGAGGCCGGGAGGCACTCTGGCAGTACACTCTGCCGCAGCTGCAGCCCAGTCGAATCTGCACGCGGGATTGCGTGCGAGCCGGGGTGCTGGCCTGCCGCCTCCCTGCCGCACCCCCTGCCTCTCCTCCCTCCTCCATAAGAGCCTTTCCCTCCTCCACACATGCACACATGCACGGGCACCAGCACCACCCTTGCCCTCTCCTGGCAGCTCACGCACCACTCCTACCGCCTATGCGCACCCGCCCCTTCCCCCCAACCGTGCAGCCCTGGACCGCGCCCTCAACGCCTTCAAGGAGCGCCCCGAGTGGTGGGCGCAGCTGCGGGGCCGCATCATGCAGGACGCCATGCGCTTCAGCTGGAACACCACCGCAGGCTCCTACGTGCAGCTCTACCAGAATGTGACGTCCCTGTGAGGGCCTGCCGGGCCTGCGCAAGGGCCTCCGGCCTCGCGAGGAGGAGCCAGCAGAGGCGGCGCCAACCGCTGCTCCCCAGCCCCCGCTGCGGGCCGCTGGCAGGAGCGCGGCGCGCTGCAACGGCAGGCAGGCCCCGAGCCCGCAAGCGGCGGCAGCCTGCGACAGACCTTAGCCGTGCAAGGAGGGTTTGGAGGTGGCCAGCAGTACGTGTCGACATTTGGCGGCGGCCTGGCATGCCAGCATAGCCCAGGCATGCCTGGCCACCGCCGCCACCGAGCACACGGAGAGGCTGGCCCAGTGTGGGTGTGTGGCAGTGCCTTCGGCTGCAGCTCCCCGCCGCCAGTTTTCTGTCTTCGCCCGGAAGGTTTTCCTCCGAGGTTTTGGAGCCCATGGGGTTTTATGCCAGTTCGATTCTTTCTTTCTTTTTCATCCCCGCCCTCTCCCACAGCTGCGCTGTACCCTCGCGCCTCCATGCGCCCCCCCCTGAATGATCCCACTTGCTGCTTGTGCCTTGCAGACCTCCATCCCCCTTGTCGCCTCCTTGTGCCGTGTGCCGCCACATTTGGCCCCTGAATGAACTCTCGTCCCCAGCACTGCACCCTGTAACACTATGCCTGAACAGCCTGTGTATGTCCCGCTAAAGCAGACACTCTAGCTACGAGGTCAGGAAGGCGGGCAGAGAGACCTGTCCCGCTGCACGGCGGTTGAGAGTAAACACTGCCACACAGAGCAGGTTGCATCTGTGCCCTGTGCACCGGCCGGCTGCTACCGTCTGTGCATGCCGGAACCGCTGCCATGCCGTCGGCCGTCTGTCTGCCTGCCATCAGCGCTTCCGCTGGATCCACCTGGGCTGGGCCTGCTGCTGGGCCGCAGGCTGCTGCCCTTGCTGCTGTGGCTGCTGTGCCTGCTGCCCCTGCTGCGTCACCATCGTGGTCCACAGCACGTGCTGGCACTGGAAGGCGGTGCGATGCTTGTGGGGGTCGGGCGCCGGCTTGCCGCACTGGGGGCAGGCGCAGGCGACGCGGCATTCCGTGCAGGTGGCCACTTCGGCGTCTCGCTTCAGGATCAGGCGGTTGACTTCCTGCGGTACAGGCAGTACATGCGGTATGGGTGGCGGTACCAGCATGACAAGTTCCAGGCGACTGAGGCGGGGCGCACACCGGTGGACCATACCCTGGCTTGCTGGGAGGGCAGAAAGGCAAGAGCCAGCAGCGGGACCCCGCAGCTGCTGCCTGGCAGCCGCCCCCCCACCGTCGGCCCGGTCCAGCTGCTCCGGCGCCCACCTCTACGTCGCCCCATTTCTCGGGTGCCAGATTCAGGCGCTGCAGGAGGTGCTTCTTGGGCGGCAGGCCCAAGGCCACTTCCTTGGCGCGCAGCGAGGAGTGGACCTCCGCCAGCGCACGCACCTGGGCTGGGACACTGCAGGAAGGGGCAGGACCGTGTGACGGGATCAGCAACACACCTCCAGAAACGGCGGAGCAGGCAGGCAAGCAGGGAGTGCCCCCGTGGCAGCGCCGGCTGCGGCAACGGGAGTGCACTGCAGCTTGGGGTTTGTGCCAGGCAAAGGGTGGTCCCTGCTGCTGGCAGCTGCCTCCTCACCGCTCATCATGCAGCACAAAGTCCTCAAACCAGGCCCCCACCAGCGCCGGAGGCACGTCCGGAGGAAGGCCCAGCAGCGGATTCGCCCCTGTGCCACCAGCGGCGTGGGCAGCCTGCCGGCGCGCCGCGTCGGCCGCTGCAGCGGCGGAAGCCGCCTGCGCCGCTTCCAGCGCGGCCGCGTGCCTGCTGGCCTCCTGCCGTGCCGCAGCCAGGCCGCTGTCGGCGGCCTCCAGCTTCTCCTCCACCCGCCGCAGTCGTGCCTTGAGCTTCTTCACCTCCTCCTCCTCTTCCGCCAGCCTGCAGGGCAGCCAGGCCAGGGCACGGCAGCAAGGGGCGAGCGTCGTCGTCGGCGGCGGTGGCAGGCGAAAGATCGGCAGGCAGCATCACGCATGTTGTGGCATGCCCGCCCCAGATTGCGCTCGGGACCTGCCCCGCTGGCGCCGCGCCCGCCTGGCCCAGCCCCAGCCTGCCTCCCCTCTCCCACACCCCACCGCTGCTGCCACACATCCCCCAGGGAGGCAGAGGAGCGGCGCACCTGCGGCGCCGGGAGTCTGCATCCCGCCGCAGCCGCTCCGCTTCTTTCTTCAGATCCTCGCAGTCCCGCCGCGCCTCCTTGCACTGCCGCAGGCTGCTCCTCTCCCGCGCCTCGGCCTCCCTGGCGTGCCGCTCGGCCTCCCCCAGCTTCTGCTTCAGCCTGCGGCAGGGCGGGCAGGGGAGGGGCGGTGCGAGGCGGTGGGCAGGGGAGGGGTGGGGCGGGGCGGTGGGCAGGCAGCGGCGCCCCCGTGCATTCACCCATCCACCCACCCACGCACCAACCAGCCGCACACAAAGAGCTTAGAGCGTCCTGCAGCACCGCCTCACCTGTCTGTGTACTCCCGCTGTGCCGTCAGCTTCTGCCTCAGCTGCGCAGGATCATCGCTGCGCCCCTGCCGCAGGCTGAAGCCCGCCCGGTCACAGCCTGCCGTCCCGGCCGTGGCCGCCGCCGCGCCATCCGTCAGCCGGCTGCTGCTGGGGCACGCCGGCGGCGGCGCCGTCACCGGCGCCGGGGCCGCACCCGCGCCGGAAGCGGGACGGCTGCTGCTGCCGCCCTGGCCGCAGCCCTGTGCTGCTGCCAACTGTGCTTCCAGCGCCGCCACGCGCTGGCGCAGCTCGGCCGCTGCCGCCTTGGCCGCCTCCTTTCCACCCCGCAGCTCTGCTGCCGCAGCCTCTGCCGCCTCCTTTCCACCCCGCAGCTCCGCAGCCGCCGCCTCAGCCGCCTCCTTTCCACCCCGCAGCTCCGCAGCCGCCGCCTCGGCCGCAGCCTTTCCGTTCTGCAGCTGTTGCACCTCGGACCGAGCTGCCCGCGCCGCCTGCGCGGCCCGCGCCGTGGCCGCCTCCTGCAGCTGCAGCGCCTCCTGCTGCTGCCGTAAGCTGGCCCGCAGTTCCGCCGCCGCCTGCTCAGTCCCCGCCAGCCGGGCCTGCAAGCCCTCCCTCTCCACATCCAGGCGCTCCTGTAGGCTGAGCGGCTGCGCTGCGTGAGCGGCAGAGGCAGGCGCGGCCTCGTCGCGAGCCCCGGCCCCGGCCCCCCGCTGCTGCCGCGCCTCCTTCTCCGCCCGCAGGCTGCCCACTTCGCTCTGCGGGAAGGCAGACCAAGGAGCAGGGAGGGCTCAGGCAGAGCACAGGCAGGCTGGGGCGGGGCGGGTCGGCGACAAGGCTCTCACGCTCTCCCACCCTCCCCCAATCTCATCCGCTATCCCATCTGCACGCCACCCAGTCTCCCACCCGCCTCACACACCCATCTCCGCTCTGCCCCCCTGCCCACCTCCCCAGCCAGGCACCAGCCCTGCAGCACCTGCAGGGCATCCCGCTCCCGCTCGAGCTCCCGCTGCTCCCGCTGCGCCGCCGCCAGCTGCGCAAGGGCGGCCTCGTAGCCCCTCCGCTGCTGCTCCGTCTGTGCCCGCTGCGCCGCCATCTGGCGCTGCTGCTCCTGGTACTGCTCCAGCGCTGTTTGCAGGGAGGCCTGCAGGGGTTGGAGGCGCGCACAGGGCGGGCAGTAGGGCAGGCGAGCGGGGTGGGTTGGCGCAATGGCGGCGAGCTGAGGTCAGGAGCATGGGTGGCTGGCTGGCTGGTGCAGTGGAGGGCATGGGCAAGGCATGACAGAGCATCTGGCTGGTGGCAGGCAGGCAGGCAAGCAGGCCCGCAGCACGCGGGCGGCGCCGCCGGCGCACCGCGACGTCGCCGGCCGTCCCTCGCACGCCGCTCAGAAGCCCGCGCAGGCGCTGCACCTCTGCCTGCAGCTCTACCTGGTGCTGCAGCAGGCGCCGCAGCGCGGCCAGCCACAGCGCGCCCGGCGTGGCGCCGCCATCCCCGCAGCCGCCGGCTGCCTGCAGCGCGGCCTCTACGGCCGGCAGGTCGGCTTGCATGCTGCGCAGCAGGTCGGCAGGCGGCATGCTGCGCAGAGCATCGGGCGTCAGGCTGGCAATCCCTCCACCGGCCGCCGCGGCCCAGGCAGCTGCACCCGCCGCTGCCAGCGCTCCCTGCGCTGGCGCCAAGGTGGCAGCCGCAACGTCGGCCTCCCGCCCCGCCTGCCTCTCAGCCTCCTCCGGCCCCGCCTGCTGGGCAGGCATCGTTCCGGCCGGTACTGCAGAGGCTGCCTCAGTGCCTGCCTGCTCTGCCGCGCCTGCTGCAGCTGCGGATGGTGCGGCGAGCGCAGCGGCCGTGCCGGCCCCGCCTGCTGCTGCCGCTGCTGCCGCCGCCGCATCCGAGCTGAGGCTACCTGGAGCAGTGACAGGCTCGGTGGCCGCTGGGCTCTTGGCTGCAGCAGCTGCTGTCGATTTGGATGCGCCTATCGGTCCTGCCAGTACCCTTCTGGCCAGGCGCTGCAAGGAGGTACCGCCCTGTGCCGCTCGCCGGCCGCCAGACGACGGCGCCTGCTGCGGCCCACCGCCGGCTAGCTGGCTGACGTGCGACGCCTGCGGCTGCGCCTGCTGCTCCTGCCCGGCAGCAGCGCTTCCGCCCGCTGCAGCGGCGGCAGCGGCTGGTGGCTGCTGCTCCTCTGCCGTAGGGTCTTCCTTGGGCTGCTGCTGCTGCTGCTCCTGCTGCTGCTCCTGCTGCTGTTGCTGCTTTCCCTGAGCCTGCTCCTGCTGCTCCTTGCCCTTCCCTTGCTGCTGTCCTGCAACGTCAGCCGCCCAGACCGTGATGCTCCTGATTCGCTTCTTCTGCCGTTCCCCCTGCTGCCCACTGCCGCCGACCCCGCCAGAAGACCCCGTCTGGCGCCCTGCCGCTGCGGGTGCCGCCCCAGACAAGGCTGCGGCTGCATCAGAGGCAGGGGCGGCGCCGCGGCTGGGCGGGCTGAGCTCTGTTGCAATGGCGTGGCTGCGTGGGCTGGCAGCCGCAGACGCAGCGCCGCCACCTTCCATCGGCGCCTTGGCCGCTTTCTTCCTTTTCTTTCTTTCCTTCTGCACCCCCTCCTTCTTCTCGTCATCCTGCTGCTGCTGCTGCTGGTGGTGGTGCTGCTGCTGCCCCGCCTCCAGCTGCTGGCCCGCCTGGTGCCCCTTGGCGCTGATTGTTTGCATCCCAGGGGCAGCGGGGGCCTCGCCGCGTCTTGTGTCTTCCTGCTGCTGCTGCTGCTGCTGCTGCTGCTGCTCATCCTCATCCTCCATTGTCAAGTCAACCACCCCGTGCGCGGCCGTGCTGGCGCCGGGTGGCGGCTTGCTGGAGCGCAAACGTGGGCGCCCCTTCTGCCTCGCCGCAACCGGCTTCGTGCCGGCGCCGTCAGCGCTCAGCCGCATCTGCTTGTTGCTGTCGAACGGCCGCGGATCGCCGCCATCTCCTGCCTGCCCCGGCGCTGCAGCAGTAAAGGGCGAGGGCTGCTGCCGTTCGGCGGCGCCGCGAGCAGGCGCGGGGGTGCCGGTGCCGCCGGCGGCTGGCCGCTGCGCTAACGGCATATCATCATCTGAAGATGACCCCATCCACGCTTGAGCGGCTTGAGACACTGGGCGTGGCCTGCGGCGAGCGGCTGGCTCAGAGCTATTGCCCTTCTCACAACTCTGGCGACGCAACCGCACCACACAGGTGGCTGGACTGCGGCGTCAATCGGGCTTGGCAAACGAGGTTGAGAGCAGGGCAGAGGGCTTCGCTAGCTTCACCCGCAGAGCGCCTCACCCTCTAGAGCCCGCCAAACATCGCTTGAAGTTGTAATAGCGTCAAAACAGTGTGCGTGGAAACATTTGTACAGACCTGGAGAGAGTCTCAGTCCCAGCCCTTGCACGCCCAGCGCTGTGCCCTGCCGCCAGCCGTGCGTTGCAATCACACATGCGTGTTGTTGCTCCACAGGCGACGCATAGCACTGTAGTAATCCCCACTGAGAAGCACCAAAGCGCATCAGACTTGCTCGAGCCCCGCTACGCCCATCCGAGGCGGTGGCGACGGTGGCGGGGGCAGGTGATGTGCTGTTGCATTCCGGCCACTGGGGACATCAGTACAGCAGCGCACTGAAAGCAATCACTTTACAGGCTGCGAGAGGCTGCCCTCCTCGCGCGTAAGACCCGCCTCACTGCCCTCCCTAGCCGGGAGGCTGCTGTTGCTGCTGCTGCTGCTGCTGGCCGTCGCCGCCGTCGCCGCCGCCGTCCTCCGCCTCGTAGTCGGGCGCTTGCCCCAGGTTGGCCCAGGGCAGCAGCGAGCGCAGCAGCGCGGCCAGCGGGTTCTGCTGCCGCATCTCCTCATCAGTCAGGTCGGGGCCCCGCTCCTGCGGGCGGACAACGAGGTGCATGGGCAGGAGCGGCGACGACGAGTGAGGCACGCCTCGAGGCACGCCTCTTGGCTGTGCAGACTGCAGCGGATACCCGCTGCAGAGCTTCTCGCTGCATGCAGCAGCGGCAGCAGGGCGCAGCGCACCAAGCGCACCTGGATCTGCTGCGCCAGAGCTCGCATCTCTGCCTCCAGCGCCGCCACATCCACGCCGCCGCCGCCTGCAGCAGCAGCAGCAGCAGCAGGAGGAAGAGAGGCGGTGCTCAGAGCACACACATGCGCGCATGCACGTTCAGCCACGCAGGAGCAGAGCGGAGGGGTGCCTCCAGCCAGCAGGCGCTCGTCCCTGCTAGCTCCCCTCGTGCCCGCCAGGCATGCATATGTGGCAGCATGCATATGTGGCAATACGGATAGTGGCGGGCACGGGCCGCACCGACCCTCCCGCTGCCGCAACTGCCAGCCAGCCAGCCGCCTCCCTCACCTACGCCCCCCCAGCCGTGGATCTCCTCCGCCGGCAGCCTGGCCACCGCGTCGCTAAAGTCGTGCAGCCTGAGGTGCGCATACTCGTTCTCTGTCCCCGCCGGCCACGCCTGCTCCCGCACGCACGCCCAGTCGGCGGCGGCCAGCCCGTCGGGAAGCTCCGACGGCGGCGCGGTGGCGGCGTGCAGGCAAGCGGACCGCAGCCAGTCCTGTATGGGCTGGGCCTGCGGGGAGAGGGAGGTGGGGCGGGGCAGGGGCAGGGCAGGACCGGCACGGCTGGCGTGGATGCAAGGGTTGATTGAGCAGGCTGCAGCGTGGCAGTGCTGGCGCCTGTGCCCAGCTGCAGCCCAGCCCAGCACCCCATCCCAGCCCAGCCCAGCCCATCCCATCCCATCCCAGCCCATTCCATCCCATCCCATCCCAGCCCAGCCCAGCCCAGCCCAGCCCAGCCCAGCCCAGCCCAGCCCAGCCCAGCCATCCAGCCCAGCCCCGCGGGCGGCAGCAGCCCTGCAGCGCCCGCCGCACCTTCCACAGCAGGTGCTGGCGCTCCACCCAGATGTCCAGCAGGTGCGCCAGGCTGGCGCTGCCGCCGTCCGACGCCTGCGCAAACAGCGGCTGGCGCAGCACCGCCGCCCAATCCAGGTCCCGCCCCACGCCCTTGCCCTGGAGGACGCGCTGCAGGGGGCAGGCGGGGCACGGCAGGCGGGGCGCGGCAGGCGCAGAAACAGGCGTCGGCGAGGGTAGGGAAGGCGCGCGGTCGAGAGGTAGCCCGTGGCAGCCGCGGCAGGGGAGGTGTGCGGGGGCGGGCAGCCGGGCAGCAGACAGGCGCGTGACGAGCAGGCGCTGCTGCTGCCGGCCGCCCCTTGCCGCACAATCAGTGGCGGCGTTGATAGCCGCCCCACCTGCAGGCGCACCACCGCCTCTGGGTAGAGCAGCACCGCACGAACCAGCAGCTCCCGCGACGGCGGCCGCGGCTCGCTGCCGCCGCCGGCCTCGCCGCTACCGCCGCCGCCGCCGCGCGCCTTTCCGCCGGAAGAGGCCTCTGCAGCAAGGGGGCGCTCGGCAGCAGCAACGCCAGCCAGAATCAGAGTGTTGCCTGCAGTTTACTCCCGCCATGCTTGCGCGCCATGCTTCCAGGCCTCCACATGCCAGCCCGGCTGTGCACGAGGCAGGGACGTCCCGTCTGAGCACAGCACCTCCCGAAGGCAGAAGGCAGCCCCTGCAGTACCACGCCCAGCCCCTGCAGTACCACGCCCAGGCAGGCAGGCACCCACCCTGCTCCTGGAACCAGCGCGCCAGTGCCTGGCTGAACACAAAGTTCGGGAGGAGGGCGGCGGAGGAGTCGCCGCCGTACTGCTCGACCAGGCGGTACAAAAAATCGTACCTGCATGGGGCGGGTGCGAGGGCTGGCGTGGAGGGCGGCAGGTGAAGCAGCCAGAGGGGCAGCACCCGGGGCCGCGACGGAGGCAACGCAGCCGACCCAGAAGAGCGCTGGGCGCACCTGCCGGCCCTCAGGGCCAGGTAATCGATGGTGCACAGCGCGCCCAGCGGGTCGTCGCCGTTGAGCGCCAGCAGCAGCTTGCACACCTCCAGCGCGGTGCGGTGCAGCCCGCGCCGGCTCAGGCCCTGCATGTACCTGCTCGGCGGGCGCAGCGGGCGGCGGCGGACGGGTGGCGGGTAGGGTGGGGGACCAACCGTGTGCTGGGGGACCAGCCGGGGAGGCATGCCGCATGCAGCAGTGCCGGGCCCATGCCGCGCCTTCCACTCAGCCCGCGCCCTCAACACCCTCGGCCTTGGCCCTGGCCCCGGCCTGGCCTGACTCAGCCCCACCTGAAGAGGCAGGTGAAGAGCGGGGCATTGGGCTCCTCGTAAGGCACGTGCATGGAGGCGGCGGCGGGGGAGAAGGACGGGTGCCAGGCCATCTCCAGAGCGTACAGCGCCCGCTCCAGCATCTCCTCTGCAGGGCAGAGGGCCGGGGGCGGAGGTGCGGGGCAGGGCCGCAGCAGAGGCCGCGGTGGGGTGGCGAGGGGCGTGGAGGGGCCCAAGCTGCCGCTTGCTCCGCTGCTCTCCCTCCCGAGCTGCTGGCCACGGCCGCACCCCAACATTGTCCATGTCGTGCTCCACACGCGGCCCGCGGTTGCGCTGCCGCCTGTACCCCTCGTGTGCAGCGCCGCCCATGCAGCGGTAGCGCCGTATGTACCGCCCCCGTACCTGCGTACGCCTGCTCCCCCGTGCTGCGGTACAGGTCGTGCATCGTCAGCAGCGCGTCCAGGTGGTACGGGTGGCTTTGCAGCAGGGCGGCGACGTTGTTGGGGTCAAAGGTGGCCTGCACCTCCTCGTACAGCTCCTGTACCGCCTGCGGTACACACAGTCAACAGGGGCGCGGTACGGCTTCAGCATGCGAGGAGGAGCCGAGGCGGGGCGGCTGTTTCCCTCTGGCCATGCGGCTTGGAGAGGGGCCGCCGGGCCCTGCGCACTGCAGCCCCCCAGCCTGCTGCCCAGCCCTGCAGCCTGCGCGGCCGGCGCGCGCCCCAAACGGCGCCCGCGCCCCTGCACCAGGGCAGAGAGGCGCGCGCCTGGTAGGCCTGGGAGTAGACGTATCCAAACTGCAGCTTGCCGTCCCGGGTGGCGCCCTGCGCCTCCATACAGATGCCGCCGTCAAAGCGGGGCCAGGTGTCGTGCGGCATGATGATGGCGCCGGGCTTGAGGGCCGCGCGCTTGAGCAGGCCGCGCGCCGCCAGGCGGCGCACGCGGCGCGAGGCGTTTGCGTACGCGCCTGCGGCAGGGGCGAGGGAGGGGTGGGGTGCGGGGAGCGGGGGCATGCGAGCGGACCGGGGATGGGAGGGTGCTTGGGAGCAGCGGGGGTGGGGCAGGGAAGCTGGTGACTGCAAAGAGCCCCTGGCAAGGGCGCAGAAGCCCTCACATGGCCCTCCACAGCCGTCAAGCCCGCCCAGCAGCCGCACACCCACCCGCGCCGCCCTCCTCGTCGTCCTCCTCCACCACGCGCGACCCAAACATGCGCTTCAACTCCTCCTCGGCCTTCAGGTGCCGCATGTTCACTGCCAGCAGCGGCCGGCTGCCGCCTGCAGCTGCGGCGCCTGCTGCGGCCTGCTGGCTGCTGGCCGCCGCAGACGTGGAGGGCTGCGAGGCAGCACAAGGGGGCGGCCAGGCCAGGGGGGTGGTCATCACGACCAGCACGGAACGAGGGCGGCAGAATGCCGCAGCATGCTTCCCAACCAAACTGGTGCAGGCAGGGGCGCCGCCGTGCTGCACCCCACATCCCAATCAAAATGCGCGGTGCGACGCACAGCAAGGGCAATCCGGGCATGATGCAGGGGGTGAGAGAATTCAAGCCCCTTCCAATGCACACTAGGAGCATACCTGCAAGTTGAGCTCCCGCAGGATAGCATCCAAGTCCTCCTCATCCCGCTTGGCTGCTGTCGCATCCCCGCCCGCCGCCTCGCTGCCGTCGCTGTCCGCATCGCCACCGCCGCGGCCGCCCCGCTTCTTGGCTGCCTGCTTCTTCTTCTTGGCAGCCCGCTTCTTGGCCGTGCTGCCGGCGGCGGCGGCAGCGGGGCGGGGCAGCGGCGGCGCCGCCTCGGGGCTGCTGGGCTGCTCCTCCTCTTTTGCGGCGTCCGGATCATCCTGCACGGCAACCAGGCGGCGCAGTGATGCAGCAGGCAGAAAGGTGTGCAGTCGCCAGTCCATTCCATGCCATCTGGTCACTTGCCTCCTCGTCAGTGAGCAGTCCAAGCAGATCGAAAGCCGCACGGCGCGGGGACGCCTCCCTATCCTCCTCCTCACTGCTCTCCTCCTCCCTCTCGTCCGCCTCCTTGTCGGGGGCCGCCAGGGCTGCCCCCAACTGCTGCTGCAGCCGCTTGTGTGCTCTGCCAGCCATTGTGAAGACAGCCCGCCGCTCAGGCACTGCAGAAGTTTTCTTGGCGGCGCGCCCAGGTGGCGGCAGCGCGCTCGCCGCCCGCCTTTGATCCAATAGCTTTTGCATTTCACCCTCATCCCCCAGCTTTGGGATCATTAGCGCAAAACAATACACTCATGCATGCGAGAGTTGCTTCTCAGTCTGCGGCTGCGACTGTGTGCAGCCAGCTGCCGCGACGGCGACGGCGGCTAACAGGTCCAGGGTGCTGCTAGAACTGCTGCTCCCAGTGGTCTTCTTCCTCCTCCGAGTCGGTGTCGTCATCCGCCTCCTTCGTCTTGATCTGCAAGCAGGGAGGCAGGGTATCAGGGATGCAAATCGGCAGGTGCAGTTGGGTTGTGCGGTGCCAGCAGCTCCAGGCGAGAGCAGGCACAGCGCTCACCGCCCAGCCATCGGCCGCCAGCATGCGGCGCACGACGGTGATCACCGCGCCGCCGCTCACGCCCTGCTCCGCCAGCTTAGCATCAGCTGGCAGGTCCCGCCCCTTGAAAAGCAGCCGATCCCAGGGGTCGTTGAAGCCTGCAGAGGGCCGGGCACAAGGCAGCGCAGGCGAAGGGCAAATGGGCTTGGGATTGGGCCAGCCATCACTGGCCAGCGCCCCAGAACTGCCAGGCAAGAGCGGGGGGGGGGCTGGGAAGGGAGGCGGCCGCTGCGGCAGGCATGCAAGCAGGGCCTGTTCGACAGGCAGCAGGCGCAGCAGGCCCACCTTCCAGTCGCAGCAGGTCGTCGGCGGCCCGCCAGCCCTGCTTCTCGGCCACCGCCTTGAGCACATCCCCCACCACCGCTGCAGCCATGGGAGGGGCAGCAAGGATGCCGCGCACATTCATTGCCAGCTGTTTGCAGCAGGGCACACGGGCACACGCACGCCAGCCACCCGCCCGTCCACCAAGACGCACCCCTCTCCCACCCACCGTGGTGATTGATTCATTCCCTCGCCCGCCCACCCCAATGCAGGTGGCCGAGCCGCGCACCCACATGCAGCCCATCCAGCCAGCCAGCCAGCACAGCCGCAGCCACGCAACCCACCATCCGCGCTGACTTCCAGGCTGCACTCCTCCAGCATCTCCGTCACTGTGGCCATGCTTTCCTTCCAGTACAGCGACCACTTGTCCCGCTGCACCCGCGGCTTCACCGTCAGCTTCATCGTCTCGCCGCCGCCGCCGCGCAGGCGCAGCACCAGGTGCAGGGTGGACTCCTTCTGGATGTTGTAGTCGGCCAGGGTGTGGCCATCCTCCAGCTGCTTGCCCGCAAAGATCAGGCGCTGCTGGTCGGGCGGGATGCCTGCCGGGGCGGGCCACCGAGGGGGGTGAGCAAGCATGATAAAGCCGTGCAGCTGGCAAGGACAGGAGCTCAGGTGGACGGGCAGCAGTGCGCTGTGAGCAATGCAGCTGGCGGCAGCGGTGACCGGTCGGCTGCCAGCGGGCGGCGGCTCACCCTCCTTGTCCTGGATCTTGCTCTTCACATTCTCGATGCTGTCGCTGCTCTCCACCTCGAGCGTGATGGTCTTGCCCGTCAGCGTCTTCACGAAGATTTGCATCGCGGCTGGGTGGGAAGGCGGACGGGCAGGGCGCCTCGACAGGGCCGGGATCTCCCCTGGCTCAAGCTGTTGACCGGTGGGGGCTGTATGAGGATGGGAGGGGGCAATTCGAGGGGGTCAACCGGAGCTCGTGCTGGGCGCGGCGCGCCAGCCAGACATGCAGCCAAACCCCAACCTCAGGCGGCCTGCCACCATCGTGCACCTTGCATTGCCTTGTCTCCATCCCCAGCACTCCGCCAGCCGCACAGAGCCGCCCAGCCCACCGCCTCTTTGCACCCGCGTTTCTTTTGGCGAGTCCAGGGCGCCAGGCGTTTGCTGCAGACACACCGATGGCGCGGAGAGGGGTTTGGCAGCTGCAAAAGCTGTTGGTGCACTATTGCGACTTTGGCGGCAGCAGCAGGGGCACGCGGTGAGTCCCTACAGGCCACCCAAGGCTTGCAATGTGCAGAATTGGCAGTGGCGTCCACCCCGCACATGCCTGCCGCCGACCGCCAACCAGCCGCGCCTCTGCGGCCACCCCGCCACGCCTCTGCAGGGAGTTTGTGGAGCAGATATTGCCGCACTTCCAGCGTGACAACCCGCAGATAGCGATCGAGAGCGTGGTGCGGCGCGGCAAGCACCCGGGGCTGCAGGCAGAATACCGTGAGCCGCTGCTGCCGTCGTAGCTCACAGTTGTCGCCGCTGCCTCGCTTCCTCCTGTCCTGCGCCTTGCCAGCATCTGTGCGCTGCTGCGCCTGCGCGCGCTTCCGCACCGCCTGCTGGGCTGCGTGTTGCACATGCTGAGCGGCCCTCATCCCGGGGCATGGCCTGGCTTCTTTGTTTCGCGTGCAGTTAACCGGACAACGCGGCATGTGGATGTCAAGAACCAGCCGGCGGAGGAGGTGCTGCGGCAAGCGGTGTACCTGCGCAGCAGCCTTGGCCGCAAGGCCAGCTTGCAGGTGCGTTGGCGCCACCGCCGCCATGGGTGTCCATCTGCGTGCCGGTCTCCTTGTGCGGCTCAATTGCCCATGAAGGAGCCAGCACCTACGGTCCTGCAGTTTGGCTGCGTTGCTCCGTTCCATGCCGTGCCCTGCATGCTGCTGCTGTCGTGCTGCTGTCGGCCTGCAACCACGGCATGCACCCGCTCTTCGCAACCCCTCGCTGTTCCGCCTGGCTGGCTGGCTGCAGGTGAAGCACCGCACGCGCACCCAGATGCCCAGCATCCAGGGGCCCTGGACGCACGAGCTGCAGGATGCACTGAGGCGGGCCTAGGGCGGTCGGCGCCAGGCAGCGATGGGCCCGGCAGCCAGCATGCGGCGCCCATGCCGGCGCGTGTGCTTGTCCGCGCCACCAAGCCACTTGTGCAACCCAGCATGATTATTTGGGTTATTACATCCCAGGCAGGCAGCTTGCCACAAAGATTTAGTAAGGGATACTGCCTGCCAGATGGAGGCTGGGTCCGGCAGGCGTAAGAGATCGGGGTGCTAGGCAGTGAACAGATGAAAAAGACAGCTTTTGGAACGCAGGATATGCTGCTTATTACAGGCACCAGCTACTGTACTTTCACTCCCTGGTGTTGGGTGAAGAGCCAACACGACGAAGGCAGTTGAAAAGTGCGTAGGGGAGTGGCGGTTGTGGAGTCAGATCGGGGGAAAAATTTGCAGCGGTGGGTGCTGGAGAGGCAGGGGCAAGAATGGAGCAGGCTCACGTTCCCACATGGGCAAACCACTGAGCGTGCCGCTGCTTGCAGGACAAAAGCCCACACAGCACGAGCAATGGCGGGCGGGATAGTAGGCCAGCAGCACCAAGCAGTGGCACCGCCAGGATTATAATGAGGGGTTATTGCCAGGTGGGCATCACACCTGGGCATGCAGGGGGGCGATGGCGGGAGGCACAAAGAGCGGGGCCACGGCACAGCAGGACACCCAGAGCAGGATGGCCAGCACAAACCAGCGCACGCACAGCACCCCGGCGGGGGGCAGCTGCAGGATCTGGTCGCCCCGCTCACCCCACTCCTCCCCCTCGCTCTCCCCCGGCTGGGCGCAGGACTCGACCATGAGCAGCTCGCGCAGCCAGGACTCTAGCGCAGCAGCGCCACGCTGCACCCATGTTGCAACGGCCGCACACGGGCCGTTGCGGACGGGGCCGTGGGCCTGGGCTCCGCTCCTGTCGCGGCGTCCCTGCCGCCGCCGCGCCCTGCGGCCCGCGACCTCTGGCAGCATCAGCACCAGCGTGGGCAGCAGCCAGCCGGCCACCACCCACACAAACAGCAGCGCAGCAACCCGCTGGCCGTAGGCGTCTGCAGGCAAGGGAGAGGAGGGCCGACGGGGTGTGACGGCAGGGTGGAGTGTGTCGGGGCATGGAAGCCAGCGGAAGCCAGTTGCCGGTGGCAAGCAACCCATGCGGCCGTGCCAGGCATGGCAGCAGGCTGGTGCCCACCTTCCGGGACAGTGGATACCGCCAGCGGAACGACAGAGAAGACAAGAGAGGCCATGGTGTGGTGCGCGCTGGCCACCGCGGCGACCGCCTGGGGGCTTGTGAGCAGCTGCATGCGGAGGCGGCGAGGGCGGGTGAGAGGCTGCGGCCATTGCCGACAAAGCACAGGCTGTGAGCCAAAGCAGGGGGCACAGCACAGCGCCATGCCAGCTGCCCGCTTGTGAGCAGAGGAGCAAGCCGGCTCAAGCAGCTCCAAGGCTGGCTGCAATGTCAGGTGAGGCGCAAGATGCGCCACCAGCGCCGCCGGGCCCCACCTTGCTGCGGCAGTGCGGGTGCACGCCGAATGACACGAGCACCAGCAGCTTGGCGGCTTGCAGCAGCATGTGCACGCGCAGCGGCAGCGGCAGGTCCAGCGCCGGGAAGAACAGCAGCAGCACGTGGGTGCCTGCATCAGGCGGGATAAGGCGGGCGGGCGAGCGGCGGTGAGAGTGGATGCAGCCTTCCGGCAGCGATGCTAGCCTGGCACGCTGGGCCCCCACTCACTCACCCTGCAGGAGGTGAGAGACGTTCACCACCCAGGCCAGCCGCCCGGTGGCCACGCCAGGGGCCAGCGCATCAAACACGGCCGAGTCGTAGTTGATGGGCAGGCAGATGAGGAAGAGGCGCAGCGCGGCCAGGGCGGGCACCCGCCACCGCTCGTAGCTGCGCGGCCGAAGGCTGGGCCACAGCAGTGCGACGGTGAAGACTGCAGCGTGGCAGCGGGGTGGGGGGATGGCGCGGAACGGCGTCAGGGGCTGCAGCTGCGAGGCGGCAGATGTGAAAGGTGCGGGGCGATGCATGCAGGGGGTCCAGGCCGGGGAGCGGAGCGGGCGCACTCACTCGCCACCAGGCCTGCCGTGGACTGCAGATTGTTTGCCAACGTCATGTGGGGCGAAATCTTCATCGCTGACGCTCCCCATACCGCCACGCCCACGGCCGCAAACAGCCTGTCCTCTGCCACCTGCTTGCTGGACGGCGGCGCCGCCACGGCGGGCGCCTCGGGCGGCAGCAGAGGCGGCGGCGGAGCGCTCGCGGGCGCGTCTGCTGCGTCTCTGCATCGCGGCGGGGCATTGGGAATTTGCTGGGGGATATCCCTGCAGCCCAAGTGCCCGTTTTGGCTGCACTCCTGGTCCCGGAAAGGGTTGTGCCCGCGGGCAGCGGCGGATCGCAGGAAGCCCCGCCGGCTGGGCCCTCAGCTGGGGCCCACGGGAGGCCCGGCCGTCCCTCCCACTGGCCATGGCGCATCCTCGCGGTCAGGCTGGGCAAGTGGGGCTCGCCGAGTTGCACGTCGGCCCACGCACCTGCGGTAAGCGCACTCGAGAGCTGCCTCTGTGCGCGCCCCGGCCTCTACTAGAAGTGGCATCGCTGCCCCGTCGCAGAGCGGGAGTCAGCGACGCCAAGTGCGCGGTTTCAGGAAGGGGGAGCCTGGGGGGCGCAGGAGTTCGGACAACGTGATTCGGGCGCCGCTCCGTTTCTGGGCATGAGATCAAGAGCAGCGATCGACATGCCCACGCGAGTGACGATTGACATTTTCATTCTGATGGGGCGGGCGTATTACAAACATGAAGGGGGGAGAAGAGCGCTTGGACATCATAAGCACCGCTCTCCCAAGCATTCGCAGAGGCTGCGGGGGAGGAATCCGTAGGAAAGGAGTAGGGAGCGGGGAGTTGCTCCAGGGGCGGAGCCAGCGGCTGGGCACGGCGGCGCGGGCGGCGGGCCTCCCCGTTCGCGAGGCGTCTGATGTGCCGGGGTGGCACACGAGCTGCACCCTGGCCCGCTTGGCTGGTGCGCTCAGCAGGCTGCGCTGCATCGTCGGCTAGGGCGGTGGTGCGCTATGCGTCGTGTAGGCTGCGGACCAAGCGGGAGAAGCTTTCAAGGAGCGGGGGTTGGTGCTGTGTGCCTCGAGCCAAAACCTGAGCGCTGTGTCAGGGCTGCGCCAACCCACGGTATTGCGTGAATGGGGGTGCCTGGCTTTTTGTGCGCAAGCTCTCACCGGCTGCTACTTTGCCGAGTCCCTACGCAAATGTCGTCCCACCGGGCGTGGGCGTCGGGAGAGGGAGGCGGACCTTCAGCAAGCGTGGTGTCGTGCAGATGGATGAAAATGAATTGCTGTGCATCCCTCAGGGTCAAAAGCGCAAGGGCAGAATAGCCTGCCTGCCAGCCCGGCGCCCATCCGCCCAGGGGTCCCGCTCTCGCGGCGGCAGACCCCCTCCCGGCTCCCTTGCTCCCTGCCCTGCCCGACCTGCCTACCCGCGACAATTCCTCATCTCCAGCGCCCCCTGGATGGGCGATCGGGGAAGAAGAAGCAGGAGATGCACATCGGAGAATGGACAGGCTGGCGGGCCAGGGAAAACCCCTGACCCCTCCCAACGAACCTCCCAAACCCCAAAACAGCAACATGGTGCATCGCCTGTGTGCCTCTTAGAAGATGGGGGCCGCCCAGTCCAGCAACCCGCGCCCACACCAGTCGGAGCAGCCCTCCCGGGCCCCGCCACCCAGCCTGCCCCTCACAGAGGAAAGCCTCACACGCCACGAAGCCCAGGCCAGGGCGCGAGAGGTGCGGAACGGGATGGCACGCCCTGGGCCCTGGGTGACGCCGGGCGGTGTCCCACCCTGCGTGTCGCTCGACATTCCTTGCAGGAGGCTGAGAAGGAGGCTGAGCAGGAGACCGACGAAAGCTTTGCCTCCTGGCGCTCGGGCTCGGAGAAAACCAGAAGCTTGCGGCAGTCAGGAGACTCGCAGCGACATTCCATAGGCTCCACCGTCACGCCGGTCAGCGGGGTAACGAGGCCCAGCTCGCAGTGGATGGACCAGCGCCCGTCGGCGGACACGCCGCTACCCAGCACCAGCGGCGGCGTGCCGGGTGGCGGCGGCTCCGTCTACAAGGGCAGCTCGCTGGCGGTCAGCGAGGCGCCGGCAGGCCCTGCCACGCGGCGCAGCCGCAGCAGCGAGCTGATGCGGCCGTCCAGCGACAGCCGCCTGGGAGGCGGCGGCGGCGACCCGGGCGCCCGCCCCTCCTCAGACGGCTCTGCCAGCGTCTACAGCGCGGCCGGCTCAGGCCGCTCCTCGTTCGCGCTGGAGCGTGCCAGCTTGGAGGCCAACCGCGCCAGCCTAGAAGCCTTCCAGGAGGCTTTCGCCACGGGGGCGCTCATGCCGGCGTCGCGCCTGTCGCAGCAGCTGCAAGCGCGGCAGCCGGGGGAGGAGGCGCCCGCGGCGGCGGCCGGCCCCGACCCCGCCGTCGCCCTGGACCAGCTGATGCAGGCGGCGCAGCTGCCCTCCAGCCTCCGAGAGAAGTGAGCCCTGCGCTCTAGCCGCTAGCCTGCTTGACAACTCCCCGCATCGTGTTCGCCCGCCCTGCAACCGCCTCGCGCCCTTGCCCCGCAGGTTTGCGCGCCTGTCGGTGCTGCCGCCCAACACGCCCGCCCCGGCCTCCATGCTCGCCAAGCTCTGGCAGTCGGACGCGCCGGAGGTGAAGGCGGCACTGGCGGCGCTGGCAGCCAAGAGCGTGCTCAACGTGGCGCAGCTGCCAGACGGCCGGGTGTGGTGCCTGCCGCAGGCGCAGCAGCTCGCGCTCCTGCAGGTGTGTGCGCCTCCGTCGCCTGCCTTGCACGGCACGCAGCTGCCGTGCTACCTGCGTGCTGCCGTGCCGTGTGCTCGCCGTACCAGGTTCTGCGCTGGGTGCAGAAGATGGAACGATGGAGTGATTGCCTCGGTTTTGTTTTGGCCTGCCCGCCTGCAGGCGGTGTGCTGCGACGTGGCGCCTCACTACCACCGCCTGCTGCTGGACGCGTACTGCTCCAGCGTACTGCCCCGCATCTCGGAAGAGCCGGAGGGCCGCCCCTCTAGCGCAGGCTCAGGCTCAGGCTCAGATGCCGGCCAGCAGCAGCAGCAGCAGCAGCAGCAGCAGCACTGGACGCAGCGCCCGTGGCAGCCGCAGGCGCCCGGCGCGGCGGCGGCGGCGCAGCGGCGGCAGCGCATGCCGCAGGTGCCCACGCAGGCCCGGCTGCAGGACATCCCCGACGACGGCTACATCCTCATCAATATGGGCCACCACCTGACGGCGGCCGGCAGGCACAAGCAGGTGCGGCCCGGCTGGCGCCCGCCTGGCAGGGCAACCAGCACCCTGCTGCTGCTGCTGCTGCTGCGCTGCGTGGGGGCCGCGCAGCTTGTGAGCCTGCCCAAACTCAGCCGTGTGCTGCCCGCCTGCTTGGCTGTGCAGCTGCGGGAGCTGCTGCTTGATCCAGACTGGCTGCGGCGCAAGCTGGTGGCGGCAGGCACCACCGCTGTGGTGGCCGACTTTAGAAGGTGGGCAGGCCTGGGGCCTGGGGCCAGCAGCAGGCATCTGCTGCTGGCTCAGCACACGTGCTGGCTTAACCACGTGAGAGGGCAGCAGCGGAGCGCTCCGTACCAGCCCAAGCGTGACCGTTGGCGCACCAGCCGCAGCCGGGGTGGCAGGTGGCGGGTCGTTGGCTTCTGCAGGCTCCAGCAACCTCCACAACCTCCCCGGACACGCGTGTGCGCACCCATCCACCGTGCCGCGTGTTTCCCCATGCAGGTATCTGCTGTTAGACAACTGCGCGGACATCAAGCTGGTGCTGGAGGCGCTGCAGCTGTCGGCGGCGCAGGCGCTGGCGTACCCGCGCGCGCCGGGCATGCTGCGCTGCCTCATGACCAGCCGCCTGGTCACCGCGCCGCTGTCGGTCGCGCTGCAGGTGTGCAGGCGGTGCGGCGGATCCGGGGGCTGTGTAGCCGCCTCAACTCGCTGGTGCTTTCTCCACCCTGGCTTGCCTGGTCCCCTGCTGACGCTGCGCGCTCTATCCCCCACCCAGCCACGCCCACGCTCACGCATTGCCTCGCGCCCCGCCCCTGCCCCCTCCCCGTGCCCCAGGCCTGGCTGCTGGACCAGCGGCGGCGTGTCTACGATGACTCCCGCCAGGCGCTGCTGTCTGGCCTGCCGCGCTGCCTGCCGCCGCTGACGGCCTCCCTGGAGCAGGCGGGCGGGCTGCAGCGGCTGGCGCTGCGGGGCCACACCGCGGGCGTGACCAAGGTGCTGCTGACGCCGTCCGGTACCGACGCGGTGACGGCTTCCAGCGACGGTACCGCCAGGGTATGGGACCTGGACATTGGCGACTGCGTGCTGCTGCTGGAGGGCCACGCGGGGCCCATCACAGACATGGCCATCACCTCTGGTGCGCAGCACACAGCAGCAGCGCAGCACAGCGCAGCACAGCACAGCAGGCAGCAGCGCAGCTAGCAGCGGCGGCGGCGATGGCGCGGAGTGCCGGTTGGATGCATCGGCGGGGAGCCCACGCTCCTGCCTCGGCAGCCTGCCTGCCTGCCCGCTGGCGCGGCTGTGGCTGCTCCTTGGCGTGGCCGCATGAGCCGCCGGCCACCTGATTCTCATGCTGCTGCCGCCGCCGCCTTCCGGGGCATGCCCTGCAGATGGCTCCCTGGTTCTGACGTGCTCGGCAGATGGCACGGCCCGCGCATTCGAGATGGAGCGGGGGCAGTGCCTGCGCGTGCTGGCAGGTGGGAGCGGTGGTCGGCGGGCTTGGCGGTAGCAGGGTGGGAGCCGCGAGCGCCTGGGGCGTCTCACGAAGCAGGCCCCGCGCTTGCTGCCGCCCCAACTTGACCGTCCGCCCTTCGCGCTGCTGCCGCCCTGTGCAGGCCACACCGCGTGCATCAACGCGCTGGCCACAGACCCCTGGGCCCGCTTTGTGGTCACCGCCAGCAGCGACGGCACGGCGCGCGTGTGGGACCTGTCCTCTGCCCGCACCGTGCACACCCTCAAGACTGGGTCTGCAGAGCAGGGTGCGCTTGCCGGCCGGGCTGGGGCCTTGCCCGAGGGAGGGGCAGGCCTGGAAGTGGGCTGTGGGCGGCTGTAAGCTGTGGAGGGCGTGCCCTGTGCCTGGCCTGTGGGGCCCCAAGCGTTTGGGGTGCTGAGGCCGCGCTGCAGCTGCTGGAGAGCTGTGCCGACCTGCTGGCCGCTCCCTCGATCCCGCAGGCGGCGTGCTGGCGGTGGCGCTGTCGCCCTGCACCCGGTTTGCCATCCTGGGGTGCGGCAACAACACCGCCCGTATGTACGATGTCATATCAGGCGCGTGGGAGGGCCTCGGCCGCCTGCCTCAGCCTGCAATTGGCTGCGGCCTGCCCCGGCGGCGGGGCTCGCTCCACAACGCACGCGCCTCCCTGGCCAGTGCTGTGGCAAGCTTGAACGCCCAACCATCGGACCCCTGCGCTGCCCCGCCGCCTGCAGGGCAGTGCATGGGCGTGATGGCAGGCCACACCGGCTGGGTGCACCTGATTCGCTTCCTGCCTGACGGCAAGCGTGCCGTGACGGCCTCGCACGACGGCACCGCCAGGTCAGCAGGGGGTGCATAGGGCAGCCTGGGTGCATGCACCGCCGCCGCCTGCAGGCATGGCGGCGCTGGCTTGTGGGCTGGCCCGGGTGCCGCTGCTGCCCAGTCGAGGCAACCTGCGCGACCGTGCTCACACGTCTGCACACTCTGCCGCCCACCTGCCTGCCTGCCCGCCTGCCTGCCTGCCTCCAGGGTGTGGGACCTGCACACGGGCAGCTGTCGGCACGAGCTTGCGGGCCACGCAGGGCGCATCAACAGCCTGGTGGTGTCGGCGGACGGCAAGTGGTGCGCCACAGGCTCAGAGGACTGCACCGCCCGCATCTGGGACCTGCGGCGCGGCGACTGCCGCCGTGTGCTGACGGTGCGCGCGGCTTCCGGGCTGGGCCTGCGGGGTGCTCTGATTGGAAACGCGCCTGCCTTGCATGCAGCCGCCACAGCAGCAGCAGCCTGCCACTGCCTTCCTGGCTGCGGGTGAAATCGGACCAGTGTGTGTGAGCAGTACAGTGCTTGCTGGTACTCTCTGCTCACTCATGCTGCGCTATGCTGCGCTGTGCTGCGCTGCGCAGGGCCACAAGTCCTGGGTCTACGACGTCTGCATCTCCCCCGCACACGACAAGCTGCTGACCACCTCAGGTGTGGAGGGAGGGCAGCAGGGTGGCTGACGGGGCGGCGGCCCCAGCTGTGACCTCATCCCATCCCATCATGCGCTCGCCAATCGCGCGCCGCCCTCTCCGCGTTTGCCGGCCTCTCCCCACCCCCGTACACCCACCTCACACCCTGAGCTTGTCCTTTCTACCCGGCCCGGATGGTACCGCAGGCGACGGTACCACCATGGCGTACAGCCTGGAGAGCGGCGACCTGCTGTGCCTGCTGGAAGGCCACTCTGGGGCCGTCACCGGCGCGGTGGTGACCCGCAAGGGGCGCTTTGCGGTGACGGTGTCGGAGGATGCCAGCGTGCGGGTGTGGGACTTTGCGGCGCGCCTGGTGCAGCCGCCCAGCTACCACGACGGCAAGGTGTACTGCGTGGGCGGGTCCTCGGAGGGGCGAGTGCTGGCCACATGCGGCGAGGACGCCGACGCGCGGCTCTGGGATGCCGAGCGCGGCACGTTCAGGGTGGGTGTGCGAGGTTTGGGCGGGGTGCCGTCGCGCCCCGCTGGCTGGCCTGCTTTGGGGCTGGCTGGCTGGCTGGCTGGCTCCCTGAGGGTGTGCCTGCTTGCCTGCGTGATGTCCCCGCGTGCCGCGCCACCCGCTGACGTCCTCCCTGCCCGCCCGCCTGCCTGCCCCTCGCCCCTGGCCGCAGGGCCTGCTGCACCACCACAAGGTCCCCATCCGCTGGCTGGCCTTCTCCGCCGACGGCCGCCAGCTGGTCACCGCCTCGCCCGACCGCATGGTACTGCTCTGGGACGTGCCCACGCTGCACCTGGCTCGCACTGTGCCAGGTGAGGCGGCGGGCAGGGCTGGGCCGGCTGGTCAGCAGTCGGGCGCGCTGATGCGGTGCTGGGCAGGCTGGCGAAGCTGGCGGGCGCCGCGCGGCATGCACGCACACGCGTGCAGCCTGTCCCGTTCCTGGCAGCCTCAAACTGGAACAGCTGAGTCGAGCAAGCAAGCAAGCACGCACGCACGCGGCTCGACCGTGGTCTGCCCCGCGCCCGCGCCCCGCTGCCTGCAGTGACCGAGGGCAGCCGCATCCGCAGCTTTGCCGCCAGCTCCGACCTCTCCCGCGGCGTCATCTGCAAGTGGGACTCCACGGTGGTGGTCAAGGACCTGCAGAGCGGCGAGGTGGTGTCAGTGCTGCAGAAGTGGGGCATGCGGGACAGCTCCACGGGGCACACCTCGGGTGCGCGCCGCGCCGCCGCACGCCAGCGCCCTCGCCGCCGCTCTGCTCGCCCGCTCGCCTTCCCGCTGCTGCCGTGCTGCTGCACGGGAGCCATCCCGCTGCCTGCCAGATTGTGTTTGCTCTCCGCGCAGCGTTAAGCTGCCACCGCCAGCCGGCTTACCATGCCCTGTCCCTGCCCCTGCCCCTGCCCTGCCTCCTGTGTGTGCAGCCGTTAACCAAGTGGCCATGTCTCCAGACGGGCTGACGGTAGTGACGGTATCCAAGGACTGTACCGCCCGCATCTGGGATGCCGCCTCCGGCACCTGCCTGCACGTCCTGTCGGGTGCGGCAGCGTGGGTCATTGCGGTGCACGCAGCGGGGCGGGGGCGCCGAGCCTCGTCGCAGCTGCCACTGCGCTCTACCCAGGCTCCAGCCTGCCGTGATGCCGCCCACCCTGGATCAACGCCGCCTGCCTGCCTGCCTGCCTGTGGCTACCACCCTGCTGACTGGCTGCCCGCCACCGGCCGCCCTGCCTCCTTCCTCGCGCAGGCCACACCGACAGCGTGCTGGGCTGCACCATCAACGGTGCCGCCCGCCTGGTTGCGACCTTCTCCTTTGACAACCACGTGCGCCTGTGGTCGCTGGATGGAGGCCTGTGCGTCAGCACCGTGCGCCTGCCCGACACGGCGCAGGTGCGAGCCGCGGCATTACGTGCCGCGGCGTGGCGTGCCGACGCTGGCTGCGTGCCTGCACGGCTGCCGCAGCAGCCCAGCACCAGCTGTAGTGCTCTTGCTGAATTTCTGTGCCCCTGGCAGCTCCCCTGGCCATGCCGCCGCTCCTCCAATGTCCAGTCCTCACGCCGCCCACCAACCGCGCCCCTCCCCTGCCCCCTCCTGCCCGCAACCCGGCAGCACGTGGCGCTGTCTCCTGATGGCTGGAAGGTGGCGGTGGCGCTCAGCAACTCGTCTGTGTGTGTGTTTGATGTGGAGGATAAGCACGCGGGGCGTCCGTGGGAGGTGCGCCACCGCCCGCTGTGCCTGCTTCGCCGACAGGGCCGCAAGTGCCCCTTGGCGACTGCCTGCTGCGCTGCGGCTGCGACGCATGCCTCAAGTCCCCCGCTGCAGCTCTGTGGCTTTGGGGGTCGTGGTTAAGGGCCTGCACTGGGACTGCGCTTGCACCCCACGGCCGCGCTCCTCTCTGCCGTCGGGCCGGCCCCCCCTGCCGGCAACCCCCATACACGCATGCGCACGCACCCTCCTTGTCCGCTGCAGTTCCACAGCTCTGAGATCACAGGCCTGCAGTTCACTGCCGACGGCTCCGAGCTCATCACCTGCTCCCTGGACGGCTCGGTGTGCGTGTGGGATGCCTCCACCGGCGCCCAGACGGGCCTGTTTGTGGGTGACTGCGGCTTCACGTGCTGCTGGTACGACGGAGGCCTGGAGCAGCTGGCTGTGGGCACAGACAGGGGCATCGTGCACAGCCTCGACCTCGGCCTGCAACCGCGCAGCATGCCCGCCGCCGCCTTTGCCTCGCCCAACCAGCTGCCAGAGCCCGCGGCTGCGGCTGCGGCTGTGGCGGAGCCGCAGGGGCCGGCCGTGGAGCAGGCGGAGGGGCAGGCAGCAGGACAGGGCGCGGCCCCTGCTGGCGCCGCGGCCCCGAGCGGCAGCGCTGCCCCCAGCGGCGACGATCGCGGCGATGCCTTGCAGCAGGCACAGCATGCCGAGGGCGGCGGCGCGGAGCAGCCTGCCCCTGCAGCCGCGGCCGGCGCGGCGGCGGCAGCAGGGCTGCACGCGGCCGAGGCCGATGCAGTCGTTTCCGTGGCCCCACCCAAGCAGGCTGGCTAGCTAGCGAGCCCGCAGCAGGCAGGAACCAACCTTGACACCACACCGCGGCCAGACTCTTCAACACCAGCCCTTGAGCCCTCGACTAGATGCACCCAGACACAACCAGACACAACCCTGTTTCCGTGAGCGTTTAGCAAAGGGCGTGCCGTGTGTTTCATTGCCCTTTGCCCGTCCCCCCCGCATGACCTACCTGTCGCGAAAGGAACCCCACTGCACAGCGCCTGCTGCTGTCCCCGACCGTGTTTCTATTTAAGTCTGACGCACGCTAGCGTGCCCGTGTGCCCTGATCCTCAAAAGCAGCCTTTTGCATGCGGCGCCCAGCAATGGGCGCCGCTCCCCATGCGTTGCCTTCATACAGCTGAGCTCATGTGCCCAGCAGTTTTTTCACACCCATGCGCTTGGCTGCCCAGGCTGCCGACGCGCGTCCCTACCCCATACGATTACGATTCTGATTTCCGGGAACCCTGCTGCCAGGTCGATGCCTCTTCCGCACCTTTTTGCACGTGCCCTTGCCCCCCCTTGCCCTGCCTCTTCCCCCCGCGTCTTTTTTCTGGATCTCCCCTTGCCGTCGATTCCCTCGCTCCCATCACAATGACTTCATTCTTCATGCCCCAAACTGCTCGAGTTTGATTTGCGCAGGCCCATGCCCCACCCCTCCCACCCCCATGTGTGCACCAGCCGCCGCAGGCCACGGTCTCGCTGCCTGGTCCCACACCTGATTTTACTACCACCCCCCTTGATACCTGTCGCACATCGCAAGCCTTTCATCACCAGCACTTGCCCGAAACACCTCCCTCCCTTTGCGCCGGCGCCACGGCCGTGCCGCCATTTGTAGCAGCCCTGCACACCCCGCCCCCGCCTGCCCGTGCCGGAGCACCCTCTTGTCTACTGCCCTTGCCTATTCACGCATGTGTGTATAACAATGGTAACAGCATTAAGCGATGAAGATCGTACAGGGCCGGCACCAGCCAGCAGTTGCAGCACCGAAGGGCTGCAGCGCCCATTTCAGGCATCAGCCGCAGCAGAGTCCTCTGGAACCATCGCAGGGCTCGTGGCTTTGCCCGCCGCTGCATACGGGTTGCCAGAGCTGGCAGGGGCAGTGTCGCGGCCGTCGGCGGCGGCCACAGGGGATGCCCAACGCAGGAACCAGTCTGGCATCTCCTCATCCTCGGCACCGCCGCCCTCAGCACCGGCGCCTGCGCCCGCGCCGTCAGCCTCTCCGCCGGCACCAGGGGCAGCAGGAGTGGGCAGGGAGGCTGGCTCGGCGCCTGGCAGGCCGCCCAACACGGCATCCTCCACAGGCACTTCGCCGCCGCCCTCAGCTGCGCCGCCCTCCGCCACGTCAGCATCAGCCGCCATGTCAGCATCAGCCGCCGCCTCCTCAGCCTGCTCCTCAAACTCGTAGCCCTCCTCCTCTGTAGAGCAGCCAGGGGTCGCCGTTAAGGCTGGGAGGATGCATGACTGGATAGCCGGCAGCGCAGCTTGCTCCGAGCCCAGCGCCGCTGCACAGGCTTGCCTGCGGCGCCGCCGCCGGCACCAGCCCCCGAGCCGGCTTCACCACCCATCGCTCCAAACCCTGCGGCATGGTCGGGCGGAACCTTGGCGTCGGCGTATCAAAGATACAAAGGGGGGGTGGCGGCCTGCTCACTGCGCTGGCGCTGGGCTGGGCTGGGCTGGGCACAGCAGCACAAGGCTGCACCGCACGAGGCGCCGGAGCCGCTGAGCTGCACTTGCCTGCCCCGCCCAGCATCCCTCCCAGCATCTCTTCCAGGCCTGCCATGCCGCTCAGGCCGCCTCCAGCGCCGCCGCCAGCAGTGCCGCCCGCCGCTGGGCCTCCCACGCCTGCGGCGCCTGGGCCGGCGCCAGGGCCAGGCATGCCCACCAGGGTTCCAAGGCCTGGCAACAGAGTCGGGAGGAAATCCAGGAGAGCCGGGGTGATGGCTGCCCATGCTGTCGCTGCCGCAGCACACCAGCTGACCACCAAGAGAGAGAGAAAGATTGCTAACACACCCCACAGGCACGCTAAAGACTGCAGCGTTGCGGTGCAATGAGAGGTCCCTGCAATTGTGGGCGCCACTGGCAGCCAGCCTCACCTGCGGCTGCCTCGGCGGCTGCCCCGGCACCGGCGCCGCCGTAAAGAGCGGCCATCAGGGGGCCGGCCAGGGCCTGCACCTCACGCTGCCTCGCCTCATACCGCTCCCCAGGCATCAGCTGCAGGGCAGAGCGAGAGGCGAGAGAGTGGAGCCGGCCGGCAACAACCGCGGGAACAAAGGTCAGAGCCTGAAGGTGGATGCACTGCTGCAGCATTGTGCATGCCGCCACACATGCATGCCACCAGCGGTGCATGCTGCCACCAGCGGTGTCCCGCGGCCCGCCTGGCGGCTGTCCTCACGCAACAGCGGACCCGGCCCCTCGCTGCCCAAACCACCACCCCGCTCGCCTCGTTGCTGTTCACCCATCGGAGGGCCACAAGCACCTCCTCCTGCACCGCAGCCACATCTCCCAGCCCCAGCTGGCCCAGCCGCGCCGCCACCGCATCATCCTCTAGGGCGTGCTTCACGCTGCAGAGGTGGCGGGCAAACAGGGAGGGCGAAACAACAGGCGAGGGGGGAGGTGGCAGGGCGATGCTGCCAAGCACAAAGCGGCGCTGTCTGAGCACAGTGGCTGGCATGCCATGCGGCAAGGGCACAACACGCAGCAGCAGCAATGGAAGCAGCAGCGGTGCCAAGTCGCAGCTGCAGGACCCCTACAATCTTTGACAGTACAAGTACCATCCTGCGGTACCACCCACCCATACAGGTAATCTTCCAGCTTGGCCCGCGCCGCCGCCCGCCGCCGCGTCTCCTCGTCCTCCGCGCGGTGCGCCGCCGCGTCGCCGATCAGTTGCTCCAGCTCCACGCCGCTGCAGGTGGGGGGGGGGGGGAGGGGGGGGGGAAAACCGGGCCCTAAAGCGGGCAAGTGGGGCATGTGTGTGCATCAAGTATACTTAAGGGGCAATGGGGAAAGGAGGCTGGCAGCAGCTTGTTGAGGGGGCAGGGCGCGC